TAGTCTGAACCTGACTCAAATCAGTGTCACACATAAAGGTTGCCCGTGCCCTGACCTAGTCGGCTGAAACCTAATTCGTGTTTTTTCCATCACACTTGTCTCTGCCACATGTAGTTTTCTGTGCTGAATTTTTTCATACGTTGGAGTAATTTTGGATCCAGATGAGTGTTCCAGTCAATCTGAATTGATTCCTTCACCTTAAACCCTTTTGAGGGCAGAAGACCTGGAGCCAGGAAGGATGATGGGTAGAGGTCTGGCTAAGAGAGTGAAAAATTAGTAAGATATTGCTTGTTAAACAGTTTGAACTTTTAGAATACTAGTTACCACGTTTCTGTCTCCATGGGAAGTGCCTATACAACGTCTTTATTTTTTCTGAAGACAACACAAGATGAGGTTGTGCAGTTCTTTCAGCTTGGATCTGTGCCTGATGCTTTGACTGATTTGATATTACTGTGCAGTGCTCCAAGGCTCAAGATAGGTCCTGAACTGTAACTCAGGGATGAGATTTAAACTTTCCTGATGTGGTATAAACCAATCCAGGAATCGGTTAACTCTGCCAGTTTCTGTTTGTAGATGCATCCCTGCCCTCACACATTTTATTCTTGTTCTAGTAGATTTTGAAAAGGGAGTACTAGACACGTTCTGCTTATTTCTAAAAGAATTTAGTAGGTTTCCTTCTCTACCATCTCACCTGTCCTCTTCCCCTTCTTCCCTTGTTGTAATACTAAAATACATTGTTTCAGAGTAAACAAGTTATTTACCTAAAGCACTGCAGAAAGATTTTGCTATTGCAAAATGAAGATGATAGTAATGTATCACGAGTGTATCTTGCTGAATACTACAAGGCTAGCCTTTGATACTCAGGTTTGTTCTAGAACAAAAGGGGGAAAAAAGGGAAAATCAAAACTGTTAAAAAAGATCCTAGATCTGTTGTTTGGCCCGTCTGGATTGGCAGGGGTGATCCCTCCTACCAGATAAGAGCTGATTGGCGTAACCAGAAGGAGACGTGTGTTCCTGGTGACTTGTCTTGGCAAAGAAAAGTAATATGTAATATTTTGCAAGTGGGTCTTTCGAGACTTGTTCCTAGATCCTACTTCCCTCCTTTCCAGAAGGAAAAATTGTGAACAATTGTAGAGGGAGCACTGTGTCCTACTGATAAATGGGCATACTGGTCCAGTTCAGACATCCTAAACAGGCTGAAATTGTTCAAAATAGCTGTGAAATGGCATCACAGAAGATAGAGATGGAAAGATCTGTTTGATCACCAATGTATGAGCTCTGCTCAGCAGAGGCTGGGAATAGTCTTCCAGTAGTGGAGGCATCACACAAGATGCTTACTGGAAATTGATAGTTGTGCCTGAAGTTAGCTGATAAGCCAAGAAGAAGGAACCTGATGAAACAACTGTAATTATTCTGAGGGAAGGGATGCTGTTTTCATGCCAGGAGGGCTATTTTCCCTGCTTTGTGTTTTGGGGGAAACCTGTGAAATGATTTTATACTGCTTCTGGTTCCCTGTAACAGAACTGATTCCTATTGGCTGTGATCTTGTCATTACAACCTGGGCCGGTATGAAGTTTGCGGTGAAATCTGGCTGTGACCGTGTTTAGAATGGAACATTCTCAACACCCCGACAGCACTGTTTAGAGGCGACCTCCCCAAATTAGAGGGCATTCAAAGTTGTGCCCGTATGTTGAATCACTGAGTCCCACGGCAGAACCCTCCTTCCGTCCAAGCAGAATCTCTTGCGTGTTGCTTTCCAACTTAGTGATTCCTTTATAAAGACCCATGTTTTCAGGGTCCTAAAGGAAAAGGAACAAGACATTCACTTTTTAGAACAGAATTTTTAAGTCTTTTTTTTACGTTTCTTCAGTTCTGTGGGTCCAAAAGCACAGATTTCTAGTTGCAGCATTTGTATGGTGGCTCTGTAAGTGCAGAGAAAATAAGTGCCCAGGCTGGTGAGCGTGTGTGAGTGCCTCTGCTTCAATTCATACGTGCTAGCCAGTCGGAGGGCAGCAATTTGTGTATTCGCCGCACTGTGAACATATGGAGTTAGCTGTTGTAATTTCCCCATTCTGTTGTGAATTTACTAGCTTTTTTGCAGTTAAAGACTCAAATTCAGCTTCTCCAACCTTTCAGATAGAATCCAACACTCTACTTTTCAGAGAAGGAGAGTAAATATAAAAGAGAATGAGGCACTCTCTAATAACTAAAAAGACAAATTCCAGTGCCTTATTTCACGTACCTGAATAGCTATATGCACGAGGGACTATCTGCATGCTTTAAATTAGGAACATTAACCAGTTCTTTACTGAAGTGAGGTCCTCTGCTTTATCCATAACAGAACTTTTCCATTTGTCAGTGAAAATGTCTTGAGATCAAGGGCATTTTATAGTCCCTAGCAGGAATCTCTTTTAGTTGGCTGAATTCGTCAATGATATTGTTACAGCTGCAAGTGGAATTTAGACATTTATAAAAGTGCTTTACACAGTCCTTTGGCATCCCTGAAAAAATAGCTAGAGCGCTTTGGCCTGACATTTTGGCTTGAAAAGGAACACACAGGGTTTTTCGTCTTATACAAAGAGGATAAAGTTCTTGCTAGTTCTGCACCTAATGGGAAAACATCCCATATTAGAAAAGTCTCCCCTACATATTCTACTCTGATAGGTTATTTTCTCAAATATTTAGCGTGAAAAGACAGATCATTTGCTGAAGCTCAGAGTAGCTCATTTAAATCCCAGTTGACTGTCTGTCAAGGTAGGCCGCAAAATGTTATAACTGAAAATGTTAAATGCTTCCTCTAAAATGTCGGTGGTTGGAAATAATACTTCAAACCAAGATCATCAGCATCTTTGAAGAGGAGACTTCCCCAGCCTCTAGAGAAAAAATAGTTAAGCACTTTGTTCATTTGTAATGAAGCGGACAGTGCTCAGAGAGAAGTAAATGTGTTTTAGACCTGCTTTACTTTCCATGATAACTAAGAAAACACTTTGAAAACTCATTTATTAAATAGAAAGGAAGCTTTTGGGAAGTGTCCAACAGATTGATTGTTTTGGCGTTAAATCAGGGTCATTCTAGCTGATAATTCTCAAACTCTACCTTTTTATTTCAAAACAAACCGTGAAGTGCCTCTTTGAAAGGACTGCAATATATAGTACCTCAAAGGAGCGTTCTCCGTATGCTTCGGCTTCCGATCTGATTTGTTTTGAGCTTTGCAAGCATAGAGGAAGCTACCTTGACTGTCTAGATCTCCTTTTTTCTTCTTTTTTTCCTTTTTCCCAGAGTAATCGTTACTTTTTCTGGAGCGCAAATTAGTTGAAGCAGGGCATCCCAAAGCATGTTCATGAACAACGCAGCGGCGTTATGTGCAGACCTTGCTAGTGGTGCGGTGCAGAATCACCTCCTGAACTGCGTTCAGGAAGCCAACAACAGAGGAAGTATTATCGAAGTATTAACTTCATATGCAAAGAACTGTAAGAGTTGCCCCGGGATGATGTGACTAGGAGCAGTAGTGGTTCACTTCTTTGTTAAAGCATTTGAAAGCATCTGATCTAAAATACCGCTGTCAGATCTCAGTGTATTGATGTCATCGTTGATGCTATTGAAAAAGAAGTAAAAAAGCGTTGGCTGTTTTAAAACCTGTGAGGTGAAATTCTGATTATTTTTGAGACAGCAGGAAACTCTGTTTCAAAGGGGAATGTATTGCATTTGCCATTACTTCATTGAGGGGTGGGGGAAAGAATTAAACTAAAGAATTTTCGTCATGTAAAAATTCTTTTAAATACAGCATTATTGAAACAAAATGTTTTAAGCTAGCTTGAAAACAATTTTCCTTATTGCAATATATTTTATTTTATGCAGAAAGAGAATGAAAATAACAAATATAAAAAATGAAACTGGAAGGAAATATTCCAGTTGCCAGTTTCAGAAGAATTTCGTTCATCTCAGTTGAAAATTCTGGCTTACAAAGAAAACTTTGTAATTACATATTCTATTCTAATTCAGGATAGGAAATTTTGGAATTCTAGAATTTGCTATAGCATAAAAATTCTAGAAGCTACATGTAGTAAATACAACAGAGGTAGTTTGCAAAAACAAGAGAAAAAACTGATGGAAGATGAGTTCCTAGTTACAAGCTTTTAACATGCTTGTAAAGGTAAAAGAGAACAATAATCAACCCTTTTGGCTGGATCTATAAACTGACCTCCACTGACCTTCATGTGTTTTGTCTCAAATCCTTCAAAAATTCTGAAGCAATTTTTGGTTGGAGTGTGAGGGAATAAAAACAAACTCCGCGGTACCTTCTTGATGAGAATGGCTACTTTGACAGGAATGGTAAAGGCTAAAATTGAAGTTAGAGTATGAATAAGCAGGGGCTTGAATTCCTCCTGTTTGTAGCGATCTCTGTTTTGCCATCATCTCCCCAGTTCTCATCAGAGCTTTTACTATGGCAATCTTCAATCCATTCCCTTTTAGGGTATATCTGCCTTCTCTGTGGCAGCAATACTGGGTGAAGTCTTTGTCCCCTTTTTGGGGGGATTTGTTTTTCAGTGCTGTCCTAGTTGAATAACACAACTAAAGGGGACAGTGAACCTTCGAGTGATGCTGGAAATGGGCGGCTAGTGGTAAAGGAGGCTTTTAAGCTTCGGCACCAGAGAAAACACTCTTTTAGCAATCCTGCTAGTGTTACAGAGAAGTCTAATTTAGTTGTCTCCAGACTGTATGCTTTCATTTTAATGAGATCCTCATTCACTTGCTTTAATAACTAATCGTCAGTTAGAAAGGCCTTGATTTTTTTTTTAAGTAAAAGTGCCATGTATTAAAGACAAACTGTTTTGAATGACTAAGATGAAAAGTTGTTAGCTTTGTGCTATTACATGCAAATTGTGAATTAAATGAAGAGGCAGTAGTTACTGTTCAGTAAACGTTATTTGACTAGTGCAGATCTGTATGAATTTGCAAATGGCCGTAAGTAAAATCTGCGATTCTTTTGTGTTTTCCAGGGTGTGCAGACTTGCATCTTCTGGATATGCTGACACCTACCGAAAGAAAAAGGCAGGGATACATCCATGAGCTCATTGTCACCGAAGAGAACTATGTAAATGATCTGCAGCTGGTCACGGAGGTAAGCACGCACAGCAGCTTTAGGATCAGGTTTTATTCACTCATCTTTTAAAAGTAAATTAGAGCAATAATTTCACTGTGCGAAGTGATTCTTTCTTTGATATCACTGCCACGCTTGACCTCCTGGGAATGAGCTGTATTCAGTTCTTATATGTGTGTGTATGGGTGTGGGTGTAACTGATGTTGAGCCCTTGTGTTACTGGCACTGAAACGCCAATGTTTAAATTATCATTCCAGTAAACTCTTTCCGCTCCTGAACGTGAATGTTTATTTCTCATGTATAAGTTCTTAAAACACATTTTGTGCCAGTTTCCACATTCCCAGTGGCACTCAGTTACTCTTTTTTATTTTTTTTAATGTTATGAGGTGCACCTCTTATGTGGAAAAAAGGGAATTCATACCGGCAACTGAAATGGACAGTCCCTTTGACAGAGGGGAAAGCCCTTTTTTCTGGCAAAACAGTCAAATGAGACACTAGCAGATAAATTAGAACTACCCTAAAGAAGTCCAAAGTAAAATGTACTTTCAGTTGCATTATCAAAGTAGAACTGGGATATTTTGCAGGAGACCTCTGACTAAAATACCCATGTTTAAAACAGATTATCCAGGCCATAGGTAACACCACCAACACAAGTTTAGATTATGCTCGCAAACATGTTATCAGGAAACGCTACAGATCTCTAGGGCACAGTGCATGTTTGAAGTCTGTTCCACTGAGTGTCAGGTGCTACTCGGTAGTAAAATGTTCACACCTCCAGGCTAAGAAAGTGAGCGTCAGTCTTAGTCACTTTGAATATACTTAACATATACTTTCTAAATTGCTTAATTTTCTGAATCTGTAGATCTTCCAGAAACCACTAATGGAATCTGAGCTGCTAACAGAAAAAGAAGTTGCTATGATTTTTGTTAATTGGAAGGAGCTGATTATGTGCAATATTAAACTACTGAAGTAAGTTTCCCCCCATACTTAGCAATAACAAAATCATGGGTCTCTTACCCCCACTTCTCCTTTTAGCTGCATGAAAATATTTGCCACCTATGCAAATAGTAGCCAAAAATGCCATGCGTTTTTCCATGTTGGAAAAAGCAAAATATTAACAATGTTTACTAAGAATTATTTGCTGTTGAGAAAAATACAGTAGTTAAGTTTGTGAGTCAGAATTTGCACTTTCTTTGCTCTTGGTGTACATGCGCTCCTGAAGGCAAGAAGAACCTCTCCTGAAGAGTAGTGCCCGTCAAGGCTACCCACAGTTCTTTCATATTCTTTTACTTGCTCTACCTCTGTCACAGCCCATACCCAGTTCCAGTTACCTGTGAATGCAAAACAAAGCACAGTAATCCCTGCCTCACTTGTTCTGAGTTAGCTGATGTATTCCTTTAGTTATTGTAGGCTTATCACATCTGAATGAGCTGTTTTGTGAGAAGCGGTGCCAACAAAGCCTGGTTTCCTATGGATTTGTGTCCAGTGTACCCTGCACCCTTCCTTCCACAGTCTCCAGCTACTACAACCCCAACTCTCTGCCATGAAACTCCACACAGTGCAAGTACCCTTATTTCTCCCTTCATCCTCTGTGGCCCCTGATGGATCCTTTCCTCTCACTTGCACCTTTCTCCCCCATGCCTACAGCTTCAGCAAGAGACAGTAAAAGCTGTGGCTGGTCTGGAGGCACATGCACGCAGATTGCTCACCTGGCCATTGCCAGACAAAACATCTTCATAAGTAAGAGGATTAATAAAGTTCCTCCCCCACCCTGAGCTGCTAATTTTCATTGAACTTTTAGGGATTTCATAACTTTGAGATATCTCTTCTTTTGTAAAACGTGCTTGAAAATGACCTGCAAGTTCGAGTTATGACAGGGGTAGGACAATGACAGGCAGCTCAATGAGCATAAACCTCCTTTCCTTAGGAAACCAGGCTAAAAACTTAGAAGTAGCTTTGGGCATGAAGTAGTGGTAAAGTTTTCATGCCTTGTTCAAGAGCGTATCTGTATTCTCTTTCTAAGCTGATTGATAGAACAAGGAACTGACACTCTAATCGGGCATTGCATCAAGTTAATTTCAAATAACACTTTGACCACAAGGGGGAAAAACGATGTTAACTGAGAGGGCAGTCCTGACTGTTGTATTCTTGCAGTATGGAATAAATCTTATGGCTGATCTTCTATTATTCAGGGCTCTCTTTGTTTCAGTAATGAATAAGAATCAAATCATTTATTTCATAAATCAAGAATCATTCATTAGTGGTCTAGTTACTCATAAAGCACACATGACCTTTTCATGTTTAGGGCATTGCGTGTGCGTAAGAAGATGTCTGGAGAGAAGATGCCAGTGAAAATGATTGGTGACATCCTGACAGCTCAGCTGCCCCACATGCAGCCTTACATTCGATTCTGTAGCTGCCAGCTCAATGGGGCAGCCCTCATCCAGCAGAAAACAGATGAAGTCCCAGAGTTCAAGGAGTTTGTTAAAGTAAGAGAAGAAGCAATCACCATGAATTTTATACACAGTAAATTTAGATCATCGTTTTGCTAGTTTCCAAAACACGGCATCAGAATAGTGCTATATGTCGGGCTGGAATGAAGAACTTTTGAACTTGAGTACTCCCTGAAGGAATACATTTTTTCAAAGAACTATAGTGCCATAAAATATTTCATTTTGGTGTAGTAGTGTTTTTGCAGTGACATGCTGGTACCCGAAAAAATAAATAGGAAGAAAAGGCCTTTCTCCTGTACCAGCAAGACAGTTGAAGAATATTTGTAAAAAATACAAGAGATTCTACTATTCTGACATTGTTTGTGGTCTAAGAACAGATTTAGCTGAAGCATTTGTTGCCTTACCGTTTCCCTTCTTAGAGGAGCTTATTTTGCAATGTTTTAAACAAACTGACTAACACCATTTTACCTCTCTAATGTTTCAGAGGTTAGCAATGGATCCGCGCTGTAAAGGAATGCCACTATCAAGTTTTCTACTAAAGCCTATGCAACGGGTAACAAGATACCCACTAATAATTAAAAACGTACGTTCTTTTGCAGAGATGCTGGTTTTGATGCTGCTTTGCTTATAGCTTAATTACAGAGTAGTTTCCTATCTGTGCCAAGATTGGCCACTGTCAGATATCTGGCGTGGCCATGGGGGCTACCCTTTTATCTCAGTCCCATGGGAGCAAATCAGCAGTAACTCTTCAGGCTTGAATAAAATGACTCTGGATTTCTGTTACAATTGGAAGTGAGACTTGCACACAAAGAACCAGAAGGCAGTAAAAGCTGGATGACAAGTTTAAAATTCAGAAAACAGGAGTAATGTGTTAATTTTGGACTCGTCTTAGCCTTTTTCCACAGTGCCGTTCCCTTCCCATAGGCTTGTAAATGACATTCAGCGTGCAACCCTGAATGCCAAATTATTGCAAGTTACATTACTGCGCAACTTACATTACTGGATAACTTACAACCCTTTTCTAACTTCCATTTGTTGCCTAACGCGTACTGAATAGTTGTAGTGAGCTTGGCCCAAGACTTTCATAGGCAAGAATCCAATTATAAATGGGATGTTGACATTTAGAGATTCCTTTATCAGTCATGGATAGACTTCTGTATATGACCAGCATTTGGATGCTTATGTCAGAAGAGTGAGCTGTGCATGATGTAAAGGCTCTGCCGACAGGCATTCATTTCAACTGTTCACAGCCAAACTGTGAGTTTGTCTCCTATTTATTGTTCATGTGTGTCAAGAGGGGAGGAAAAATAAATTTGGAACATATTTGGCCAGCTCTGATAAAAATAAAGAAATAACACAAAGTGCAGGGCTGAAAAGATGAATGTTTTTAACCACAGATAACAGAAGAGGCTGATGTATTTTACTTACCCACAGATAATAGAAAACACTCCTGAAAACCACCCTGACCACAGTCATTTGAAGCATGCTCTCGAGAAAGCAGAAGAATTATGTTCTCAAGTAAATGAAGGAGTGCGGGAAAAGGAAAATTCAGATAGGCTGGAGTGGATCCAGGCTCATGTTCAATGTGAAGGCCTGTCTGAGGTAAACAGTGTACTGTCTAGGGAAATTGCAAAATGTGGGTGTGCTTCTCCACCAGTCGGGAAGAAACCATGGCTCACATGCAGCACTGCATCCAGGGACAAACAGTGTAATCAAATAATGTAATCTTTAATCATTTGTTTTCATCCTTCTTTGGCTATCTTTCACTCATGCACGTTCTCCTTTTTGCTGCTTGTGTTATTGCTTTCTATTTGATAAATACTGCTTTTTTTTCCCTGTCTTTGGACAAGTGCCAGATTAAATGCTGCAGTTTTCAAATACAGCTTTCCAGTTTCGTAGCTTTGTACAATAAAGTGTTTCCTGCACTGCTGTTATCTCACGCTGAAGCTATACCTGACTATCCTGGAGTGCTTTAAGGCTCGTCACAGAAAATATTTTTTGTGATAAGACTTTGCATTGAAAACGCAAAAGTACTGACCAAGTCTTTCTCTAGACTTTACTGTTAGACTTTAGAAGTCACTTTGCCTAGCACTGCATATTATTTTATAAAGTACCATGCCAGGCTTCTCTAGGGAGAATGGAATAAAAATATTGTGTTCGTATGTCCTACGAGAGGGTGGAGGACTTTTTGATGGCCTCCTCATTATTGGTGAGGATAATAGAAGCAGACAGAACATAACTTGATTTTAAATTGTTTTTGGTTCTAGAAGTTAAAAAAAATAATAAGCATTGGTTGGTTTATGAACTGGAAAAAAATGAATTTCATCTTATGAAGTCTAACCAGTTCAAGGGAAAAACATGCATGACAATTTCAGAAGGGTGAATGTCACTATCAGCTATCTTTTAAGCGTAACTACTGCCCAAAGTGAGAGAAGTTAATTTGTCTTCTGTACATGATGTCTGACCCCGGAACACCAAAATATTAGTTGAAAGACCAACTAACTGCCTGTTTGCTGGTATGATAACACCACTAACAAACAGCCGTGCATCTATGGCATGGAGTGGTCTTCTGGCTGAGATGTTTTTAATCCGTAAAAAGGAACCACTCTAGATCTACCTGCCCAGCCAGCTAGGATGGCAAGAACCATGCAACCCTGACCAGTGGAAATAATAAACCTAAAAATTACACCTTACCAAAGGGTAAGCCTACTCCTGAGCCGATAACAACCTGTAGACGAGTTGTAAATTCTTCCCGTCCCAGCCGCTGATTGGCAGCTGTCCTCTAATCCCAGGTATTGGAGTTGGCAAAGACGGGTTATCTCGGAGTCCTTTAGTGTGCTTTAATGGGTGAAATGCAGATACTGGCGGCAAAAGCACTTGCTAATTTGTGTAGTCCCTGTTGAGAAAGCTCAGCGTTTGGAGAAGCCATTTGCCTAACTACTGCTAATCTAGGACAAGTCATCATCAGCTCAGTCCAACTCAGGAAGATGCATGTGAGTGGCAGAGAAACTCAAAAGGAGGCACAGATGCTTTGGGCTTCTCTCTGATTTCCAGGACTTGCCCTGTGCAACTGATGGGCTGCCTTACAGTTAGTTTGTGTATAGCTTTTCTATGACTTGCACTGCTTATCATATGCAAGACAGAGACATTGCTCATCATCCCTGTGACACGAATTAAAACCAATGTTAGGACTCAAAACTATATTTGATCTCTTTCAGGGGAACCTCGATTGTTTTACTTTATACAGTGCGTTGTTGTTCTTCTTCTACTTTTCGCAGCAACTCGTATTTAATTCTGTTACAAACTGCTTGGGACCACGCAAGTTTCTGCACAGTGGGAAACTCTATAAAGCCAAGAGTAACAAGGAACTGTATGGCTTTCTGTTCAACGATTTCCTCCTCCTGACTCAGATCATAAAACCTCTTGGCTCTTCTGGCACAGACAAGGTCTTCAGCCCCAAGTCTAATCTTCAGTATAAAATGTACAAAACTGTAAGTACCACTCCTAAATGGTGACCAAGATCTTTGTAGTCTAACAGTGGCACAGGAGGCAGCAGCTCCTGTAATGGTGCTGCGGGCAATAGCCTTTGTATAAAAGAAGTAGACAAGTTTTGGTATATGCTGGGGATTCCAGGGACCGATGGTGAAGAAACTGGTTGTTAGCTTTAGATAGATAAGAAGAGGTGCTTTTGAAGCTCTCCCAAAACAACCTCTTCAGCAGAGGTCATGGGTATCAGGGAGTGATGTGGGGAGTAGTGTTTGCTGCTCCCTGCGGGAAAGGAGAGATTGCGATGCTCCGTAAGGTTGCCCTCTTACTTCAGAGGATGTGTTCCCAGACTCTGGAGACACCTGAATCTTTGATTTTAAGCAAGTTCAAAAAAAGACAGATCTGAAGAAAGATGGAAAGCAGGAAGAAGGGGAAAAAGAGACTGTAGGCACAAAGAAATCTGTTGTAGTTACTCTGTGTTGAATGTATCTGGATATTGTGCTATAGAACTCTGGTTTTGCCTAATGTTTTACAGCCCATTTTTCTAAATGAGGTACTAGTAAAATTACCCACAGACCCTTCTGGAGATGAGCCCATCTTCCATATCTCCCACATTGATAGAGTCTATACACTTCGGGCTGAAAGCATTAATGAGAGGTAAGTACCTGCACAGGCCTTGTTAGAACTGAATTTGAGAAGTCTGATGCAAATGTATGTAATGTACAGACGCATAGTAATTTCCATGGAAACCTTTACAAAGCAGTTTGTCACAAGGCTATCTGAAGAATTCCCTGTGCCTGAGAATACAGTAATATTTATTATACGAAAAGGAGGGAGAAATAATGATGTTTCCCAGACTCCAGTAAGGCCAACAGTGAAATGTTCAAGAGGGCTGATATTTATGGAACATTTTATGCTAGCAAAAGGAAGCTAAAAGATGCAATCCTATCTTCCCCTGTTAACAGCCATCTGTTTTTGTGCCAGTACAAGCATTTATTTGGCTATGTATGTGTTGAATGAGATTCAGGAACAGGTCCAAATTAAAACTTGAAGCAAAAACCTACCAAACAAAACCTGGTTAGTTTTAACTTGATTCAGTTTAGACTGAAACAGCCAAAAGAATTGCAACTCCAAAACTTCACCTGGTGATTTTTGTTTCTAGCAAGCTTAGGAGGACAGGATTACACTGACTTATGTTGAAAAGATTTATCTGCACAAATACAAAGTCTTAAAAGATAACTTTTGTTAAAAAGTGAAAACTCAAAGTCCAGCAAAAGCTAATGAAACCGTGAGAGAAATGCTTGTAAGAGTCAAAACATTGTTTAGGCATAGTATTTTGCTGGCTTGCAAATGTGTTGCCCCTAAAAATGCTAGTGCATAAAAAAGTATAAAGCATCTTTGCTCCCTGCCTGCCTGGCAGAATGTGAAATTTTACTTCATTATTACTTATATACACATAATTTCTCTTGCAAAAGATCATACTTTTGTGGATACCACTTTTCCCTCGGGGTGCTCTTTCCACCTCTGTGCCACAGAATGAGAAAGCACAGTGGTTAGACCCTTGGTGATAAACATTGACATAGCTCTATTGCCTTTCAAACTTTGGATCTGCTGCACAGATCATACTATGGCAAAAATCAGATGTTCCGTATCAGGCTGCTCACCGCGGTAATCAGAAACATGTGAGCTCTGCACCACATTCATCCCACCTACCTTTAGGCTGTCTAGTAAGGTGCCTGTGGTAGGAGCTTAGGCAGGCTACACTGCACCATCAGGAGAAGAGACAGCCAGATCTTCACGTCCTGAACGCCCTCTGGAGGTGCTTGCCTCTCTCCATTCACCACAGAGAAGACCCACAGGACCTGCTCTCTTAATTTAGGCACTTCATTCAAATGCCCTTTACAGCCTTTGACTTTGATTTGTGCCAGAATTGCTTGTTAAATACACAATTTCACGTGAGAGGTACCTCCAGGTTTTTATCATTTACTTGCTTTTAATTATTGACAACAGAAATGAAAAATTAGCATCAATGAATGATTAATTTGCCCATTTATTCTTGAAAGATATGCATGCTCACAGGCTAAATTTGGTCCTTGCTACACTTCCAAATCTGCTATTTACTTAACTTTAGGGCTGGCCTAGAAGACAGAATTGGCCGTAAGTGTTTTGTTTTCTCAAAAAACTGTCTGTGTAGAATACAGGTGAGTGTCTAGACGCCAGTTCGGGCCAGTCTAAAGAGCTGCAACTCACTGTGGAACAGCAGCTCTTCACATTGGGGTCTGAAATGGATTCATGACTTCTAGATGCTCTCATTTTATCTTGTCTCATGCCAGGCTCCCTTGTGTGTGGCAGCTCTCCTAAACACTTGAGGCCCAGTAGGACCCAGCAGTGGCTGCTGAAGCCAGGATCTGGGTGCGTGAGAACCCCTACCTGAGTTACGCTTAATGTGTCTTGAGGCTCAGAAGGGTTCTGGTATGAAATGTCTAGGTTCAAGAAAAATGGCCACCCCTGCAACATAGCAGTGCTGATTTTTATCTCCTAGTTGAAGAAGTTAGCTTATAGTAATAAAGCAAAAGACTCCGTGAGAACAAGCCTGTTATCTCTGCCTTTCATTTTCTCACCAAGTCCTTACCTGTTTGTAGTTCTCTTGAACTTTCTTTATGTGATGGGATCTGCTAGTTGGGGATGATTAGATCTCTGCAGATCCAAGAATTTCAGTAACATCTCTTCATCTCTAGAGAGGCAGCTTCAGCACAGCAGATCCTGGGATGGGGTCAGAGCTTTAGACTGCAAGGGTTTTGGAGTGAGGGCCAGCTTTATTTTTTTCTGCTGTGCTCTAAAGAGGAAAAATGAAATCATAATGGAAATGATATTTTGCAACTTTTTTTCTTTTCCTTCTGAAGGACTGCCTGGGTTCAGAAAATTAAAGCTGCTTCAGAACTTTACATAGAGACCGAAAAGAAGAAGAGGGAAAAGGCCTACTTAGGTACAGCATGGGTTGCAGGGATTCTCGTCTTTTGTGGAAATGCCCATGGGCAGGACAATATCCTAATGACTTTGTCTCTCCTTTTTTATTTCACCACAGTTCGCTCGCAAAGAGCAACAGGCATTGGGAGGTTGATGGTGAATGTTGTTGAAGGCATTGAACTAAAACCTTGCAGATCCCATGGTAAGAGCCTTGGTTTTTTCATAATATGTTGTTTGAAGAAGGCATTCACTTTTAAACTAACTGTTTATTAAAATGGCAGTGAGGCCACAACCTCTCCCCTGTCAGCTGGCTGTAGGAGCAAGAGGATATTCACGCACCTAAAAACATGATTACACTCTTCTATTTGTTTCCTTCTTCCTAGGAAAGAGTAACCCGTACTGTGAGGTGACGATGGGCTCTCAGTGCCACATTACCAAGACGATACAGGACACCCTCAATCCGAAGTGGAACTCCAACTGCCAGTTCTTTATCAAAGACCTCGAGCAGGACGTACTCTGCATTACAGTGTTCGAGAGGGACCAGTTCTCCCCAGATGGTAAGTAGGAGGCTGCCACACTTCCAAGGGTGTTTTCAAATCTCCCGTTTCTAAGAAGTACATGCCTGCTGGGGTAAATATTGAACCCCTTTGTGTAGCCAGGGTCTGACTCACACTTGCTCTGCAGTGGAGTGAAGCCTGTAGCAGGGCGAGGAGGATCAAGCTCTTTTGGGGTTTTTTGGTTTTTGGTTTTTTTGTGTGTGCAACTTTGCAGTTCTGCTAAGTCTTTAGGTAGGACTCAGGATACTGTCTGCACATGGATAAATTAATGCAGGAAAAGGAGAAATGTCTTCAGGTCCCTATGGCAGGTAATGACAGTGGCGGGAATGAACCCACAATTCCTAACCCGTTCTTATTTGATAACCTTGGAGAGACATACAGAGCATTGGAGAGGATATATTGGAGTCCTAATCTCTCAGGAACTATTTTCTAGGACTGTCATTCATGTGCCCAGTGCCAGTTGTCCCATTGACATAGTCACTGCTGTAATACACTTGTTCCCTTTAGCATCTCCAGAGGACTTCACACTGTTTGAACGGTGGAGCAGCCTTTGGCTTCTTTTCCAACATATCGGAAAATAAACAAGGCAGCTGTGAAATATGTAGTGGATCATTCTATTTATGGGGTCATTTATTTTTAAAGCTGCTGCTGCCTAATATGGTCCAGATGATAAAATCCTCTTCTGTGCAGAGAGGCAGCCTGTGGCCTGCTTCAACTGTAAAAATAATGTGGACTGAAGACTTGTAATCTCCTTTTATTGTGTGTAGATGGAAGCTTACTTCCTTCTGTAAATTAGCATTTATTGCAATGTAAAACGGTTGTTTCGTTTCTGAGCATGCTGTCTTTTTGCATTTCAGACTTTTTGGGCAGAACAGAGATCCGTGTGGCAGACATTAAGAAGGATCAGGGTTCAAAGGGACCAGTTACAAAGTGTCTCCTTCTGCATGAAGTCCCAACAGGAGAGATAGTCGTCCGACTAGACCTGCAATTGTTTGATGAGCCTTAGAGGGAAAGGGACGGATGTTTTATTTCAGTCTGAGTCCACTGCAATAGGTGTCTGCAGAAGCTGTCGCGAAATCCTTATTTGTTTGGTATGAAACTACTGCTTGCCCTTCCTATATAAGAGGGTTATCAAAGCAAACAGGAGCATCTTTGTGCCTTGATAATTCTCCCTGGAAAATGAATCCCAATTTTGTGAGGAAACCTCCCTCAAATTCTCTATGTGGAACTTGACGTTAGTTTCCTGGGTTTATGAAATAACCTAGTTGTTTGTTGTGATCCAGTCTGAAAGGCTGATAGACCACATAGGTTGCTATGCTTGCTCCAGTTACCCTACTCTTTAATTTACACGAAGAGGGCGATGTTGGTGTGTTTGCTTGGATACTTTCTGCAGATTTTACCCCTTAGGAATGTTGTGCCTGTTGCTCAGCAAAGTGGTATGTAAATGTTATGTGAGTTGAATGAGCAGTTACGCGGTAAGAAGATCTTTGATTGACCTGAAGACCTTGATGGTGGTACTGAAAAGGCTTAGAAAAGAAATAATAATCTATATCTATAAACAGAGAAGATTCTATTAACATACCTCTTCATGACTCACTTTGCCCCTGAAAATAAATGATGTACAGGCCTTCTGCACAGAGATGAATTGCACTCTAGAAGAGTCCCCCCACTCGGTACCTTTGGAAGTTGCTATTTTCTATAGGATTGTAAATGCTTGAACAGTAAGTGAAGGTGAATATAGAGCCCTGCTGAATGTTGTGCTGTGCCACTTCAATACTACTTTACTACTGCTGCTTAATTGTGTGAGCGCAGATGAATGATCTGTCACCTGCAGTGGGGAAATAAAAAATCAGGGCTTTAGCTCAGGAAGCTAATTTCTACCCCAGTGAATCTAGTTTGCAGAGCAATCAGGGGTGACCAGTTATTAAATTGTACCGTGCCTAAATGTATTATTTGACATCATGTTATTGAATTCAGGGCAGTAGCATACTGTAGCTCACAGAGGTGTTGTTTGTCACAAGCCAGGCTGATCACAAGTTTAGTGGCCGTGGTATCAGATGTGAGCAGAAACAGAATTGTTGTGACTGCGCAGAATGGATAGCCCCACAGTAAAAGCCTTGTCATCTGGAGGAATGCTGGGGTTTATGTATGCGTTTAGCTCTAGGGGTGTGTACGCACGCGCGTGCGCACGCACCTACACAGACACACACACAAACACATGTAGGCCCCACTTCCAGCAAACTTTCCCTGCTTGGCAAAGCAGTCAGCTTTAAGTGTGCACTTATGTCTTGGTTTCCCTTAAGCACATGTAAGTGCTTTCCTGAGTCTGGACCTAAGAGAGAGTAGGCCCCTAAGAGTAAAATTCATCTTTGTTCTGCTTGGATTCATTTTGCTCATTACCTATCATGCATACACTGGTATTTTCATATGCTCTTTCTTTCCGAATGGGAGGTATCAACCTGTTTCATTAGCATGTGAATGTTCTTGTGGAGCCTGTTGTTAGGGTTTGATGTTCCTTGCATGTCCTTTCAGTACTGGTTGCCACCTTTCCTGTATAGGCGGTGTTCTCTAGCACTACAAGTCTTATGGATTTCCATTAGGAAATTAGGATATCTTCATAACGGATAGCTAGATACGGTATGGTGATAAGTGTAAGCTGTGCTGGGAAGTGTCTGTATTATAATTTCCTACAAGACCACTATAATGTTTCAAGCAATTGGAAAAAAATGTATGTTGGAGGGACAACAAAGTTTACATTTCATACTTTTCAGAATCGCTTTATTATTTATTTATTGAAGATAGATAGTGTAGAATTTTGTATCAGAAATGACAGACATACTTATGTATTTTTTGAACAAAACAGAGATACACACTTTAGTTAGAAACTTTCAACTGACACATTTTAGAAGGAGTTTAACTTCCAAGGCATGCATTTGTTTACCACTAACTGGCTGAAAACACAATTAAGAGGAGAACTTTAAGTTTCTATTTTTCAATGTTGTTAAGAAAATTGTTTCGATTAAAATATGTAAATAGTACTAAACCCATGCTTTCCTAATTCCATATCAATCCATTTTATTAAATATAATGTATATGAAAATACACATTGTTGTGGTAGGATAAAAAGTGATAAAATCTATTAATGGAGTAACATTAAATGTCATTGTCTAACCTTTTATTGCTGTCGTAATTTTACTCAGTAGCTGTAAATGTGGTGACCATTCATTTCAGTGCTTAAGAAGTAGGATCACTTTTAAAGTATCATTTCACCAGCGTGAATTACAGTGACATGTAAATAGGAGAAAGTACCATGGGTTTAAAGGAGAAATCCAGGACAGGTTTTTGAAAGGAGCCTCAAGGAGATCCATGCTCCTCTGAGATTCAACTGGTGTCTGAAGCGGTGGATGCTCAGCTGCAGGGGCTCCCCATTAGATCCTGACCCTCATCATGGGCATGTCTGATTGCACAGGACTGAGCACCTTCCTGACCACTCTCCCATATCATTCCTCCTTATTCTCCCTACATGCGAATGTCAAATTGCTGTTAACATAAATAGGCGTTCTGAAAACAAGAGGAGGAAAGGATGGGGGTCCGGCTCATTGATCGCTAATGAATCCCTCATAATCAGGCTGATCCTAAAGACGGAGCTCGCCCTAATCCCCATGCGTCAAGGACAGACTGCATACCCTTAGAGCCAGCGTGCTGTGCCTCAGGATGTTGCTATTTTTCTCTCTTGCTCACCTTCAATACTCCGAAATATGTTGGCACTGTTGGCTTGGAAAATGGAGCAGTTTTTCATCAGGGTTAACCAAAGGCTCTTAGAAGTACATAGAAATTCACTGATTTCTGCCTGTTAGACCCCGTTCAGGAATCTTACAGTCTTGCACGCTGTTTTACCTCGACTCAGTGGCTGCCTGGATGACAGTTGTCTGCTCTCCTGCCCACCAGGGCTGCATAGCTCTCACAAGCATCTGGGACTTTATGCTCCAAAAGGCCTTTTCATGAGAGAGAGACAACTTGTTAGCTGCATTTGTACTAGCACTTTTGTGCAGAAAACAGCCTGCTCCTGTATGCTCATTTAAATATGACCTGTGTTCTGATGAGGTTGGGGAAGAGAGAGCCATTCAGCAGCGAATGTGTTAGAAGGTTGACATCTTTTGGTGTATTTACAGTCAGCTAGCGTTACCAGAACGTGGGGAGGTCGAGCTGTGCTCTTTCGAGTGTCCTCTTCTGGCTGTCAGGCCAAACCCTGCTAGTCTGTGCTGCTGTTGTCTTAATACCTGTATTTATGTAGACCCTATAATTCAGACTCTTGGTTATGTATCTCTGAATGTATCAGTAAAATTGCACACCTTAGAGCACCATCCCCTTTCCAGCTCCCATCAAGCTGTGTGTAAACTTTTCCCAATGCTATGCAAAAACAACAACAGCAAAACTCTAAGCCCAGGTAATGCTTGATTAGGTTTTGCTGTGAAAGAGCAGTTAGCAATGCATTTGGCTAAGCAGCGCCATTAAAATGAGAGAGGCCGGTAAAGCTGTATGTTGCGGAGTTGTGGGTTGTCTTCACCTGCCTTTGTTCTCCCCTGGGTAAAGTTCATCCTAGTACAGAGGGTGAGCACAAGAGCTGTGCATTACCAGCCTTCAAAATGAGGCACTGGTGGGACTGAATTGGTACATGGGCCACTTGGACTGGCTCTCAGGATAGAGACTTTCTGCCTTTTAGCAGGCTGTACTTTACTGGAGAAGACTGTTTGCTTAGAAGTAATTCAGCATCAAACTCCTTGGCTGGCATTCAAGTCTTTCTAAAAATATTTCTGTGACTTTTTAATGCCTTTGGTACCTTCATTGAAACAGTGATCTCGCTTTCGATAAACCAGGAGAGAAAAAAAAAAAAAGCTCAGGACTAGAAACAGCAAAATCTGTGGCTGCGAGAAAACATACAATGGAAAAAATACAATGGTAGCTTGGGTTTCCGAGCTGTAGTTCTGGGAATTGCATTCTTCCCCTATGTATATTAATTTTAACAAGGAGAATGGTATTTCTGTCTAGTGCTTCCTTGATGCTAAGTCTTGTAGCGGAAGTGAGTTAATGGGTCAGAAACTGGAAGGGAACAAGAAAATTTTTAGAAAGGATTAAAACGACTGAAGATGGAGGTAGCCGGAGCCAGGCAGAATGTCAGTGCTATAGTGTGGTTGCCGACAGGATAGGATAGCCAAGAAAAAGGAAAGGATTTGTGTTGTTGTTGTTTTTTTAATTAGTTTAAAATCAGATTCACAGTATCACAGCAGAACTTCGATCGTCCAGGCCCACAAGAACCCATGATAATATTAACAACAGCAATAACAGTGATTAGTAATGAAGAATGTGTTTGTCCTCATCTCAGAAGGTGTCACAGGAGCCACACTGGATTTAGTGTGGCTCTGTATTTATGCAGGAATCTGCGTGCACTTCTTTATCGAAGTTGAGCGTTCGGGTGTGTTTAACAGTCCTCATACTCACCTTTCCGGGAATTCCCTTTTCAGATGTCTCGCTCTGTGGTGCTTGGCACTGTGCTGTTGCAAGACACTTTCACAAGGATTTCATGGGCATATAAATGTTGCTGTCAGGCTCTTTGCTTTCCTGGTGTGATCCAGACAGCTCTCATGACCATCCAAGAGACACACAGGTACACGCCCCTCTTCCAAGCTGCAGTTCTGGGAACTGCATTCGTTTCTTATAATTTTAGCAAGGAGAATGGGATTTCTCCCCGGTGCATCAATGTGCCAGTTTTCTGTTTCTCAGAGGACTTGCTTCCCCAAACTGTAGCTGTATGAGCTGTTTGCCAGCAATGTCGCTATACCTCAGCAGGATGGCTCTGTCCCTTCATCTGTGCCTGTCTCCATTTAGGACCTTTCTGCCACTGGAGACACTGGGAAGGCTCTTTTTGAATCCAGTAAGAATCAATCTTGTCTTGAGGATCTGCCTCAAGAGCAAGCAGTTTTCTCCTTGCAGACAGGAATTAACCCTGCAGAGTCCATTTCATGGTCGTTAGGGCTGCAGTTCAAGTTGGAGACCTCCCCAGTCTCCTCCTCTCTCAGCCGCCAGCCGGTACCCGGCTGTCACACCTCCCCTCACTCTGTTGCTCTACTGCTCTCCCATTAGGTTTTTCTTCCTCCTGTGAGTAATCCAGTGCTCCTGTCCTGGGGTGAAGCACCTTGGTTCGGGTCTCCTTCCTAGGCGTCTCGCTCCCGGCTCAGGCTCACCTTGCAGCTCAGTCATGCGCGCTCATGCCCTGGTAGCCCCTCACTTGACAGAGCACTTCGGCAGGCGCCTAACTTGAAATTGCATCCCTGTTCCGGCATGTTTAAAGCAAGCCGTATGCCTACATGCTTTGCTGGAGGTACGCGGATGAATTTGAAAGCTGGGTGGCTTCGATACTTTAGAGCGTACATTATGATGTTGGTTCAAACTCTTGAAGTATCGGAAGCTTGCAACAGATATAACCAGAGCATCAAACAAAAAAAAAATTAAAGCCTGAGATAAAGTATAGAAGTAGGTCACAGTCTTTGCAGTTGGATCTGTTTTCTTCCTTGCTTTCCCATAAGTGATTGGTCATTGGGTTAGAACCACTAAACTCTCCGGAATTGTGATTACTGGGCAAATCATAATTTGTAGAGTTACAGATTGCAACACATTAGGAAACACTATAAAATATAAAACAGTCTGTTGACCTTGGCCTCAGACATACCAAGTAGCTTGCCAAGTTTAGTGCTGGTAGAAAGCCAGCCTGTAAAGCCCTGGGAGGTTGCGTGCAGTTGGTGATTTGACTTGGACACCTTGAAAGACATAGCATGTCACTGAGCTGACACTAAGCCAAATGACTGATAAATTACAGAACGTTTTTTCTAGATGCACTTAATTATTATATATTTTCTCAATATGAGTTTTTATGAGAGAATTTTTAAGTGTCCATTTTACAATTTTTTTACCCTTAAAAAAAAACAGTACTTTTTGTTACATGTGAGTGGGGGGGGAGGGACATTGTGGAAAATGAAATTTTTGTAATGTTACTAAGTACAGTTTCAAAACTAAGATGTGACAAGTCCAAACTTTTACTGCAACAGCAGTGTCTACTTTCATACTGCTCTGTTTGCCACTGTGGAATTTCAGTTAATTCAAATCTAGCAGTCCAAACCCTTGAAACACAGAAAAGCTGGGAATCAGGTTAAATCAACTTAGCTTCGAGGGGTTTGCTCTATATGTACATTCCACATATATCCTGGTGTTTGTTTTGCCCAAACACCTTTATGTCCTTCATGCATATCAATGTATCTATAGGTAAATACAAACTTATATATATATATATTTGTATATATGATATAAAAACACAGCTATGTTGTTGTTGTCAAATACTGAGTAAATCTAACAGAAAAAAACATTTATAGGCCCACAATTTTGTTTATTCATTTAAATATTTTAAAATAGGGACCATCCTTAGGAAATTATTTTTCTGTACATATGAGGATATATTTAGGATCTAATTTAAATGAATTAAAAAACTGCAGGAAGATGATGTTGAACTAGCCTAGTCGCTTGATGCAGCTGTCAGAAAAGGTTCTGCTGTGACCATAGGTGACTGCCTTGTGCAGCTCTTAAAGCTGCAAAACATTGCTGCCCATTTGATTCTGGGATCTTAAAATGTCATAGAAGTAAAGAAAATAATTGTTACTTCATCTGTGACCTTATAGCAGACTGTCAGACAGCAGCTGTTGAATGTTGCACTGAGCGCAAATTAAAATGGGAGATTTGGGTGCGTGAGAGTAGGGGAAAAGGGGAAGAAAGAAGAGCTTGGTGTCCTGCAGGTCAAGCTGCTCAAACCTGGCCGGGCCGGGCAGGGCTTTCGCAGCAGGGTTGCTTCTTTTCGCATCTACCCCTGTCGTGCTTGTATAAGATGTCCGCAAGGTCGCTAGGTGTGAAACCTGGGTTTTTGAGGGGGGGGGCGAAGGGAGGCCTGCATTTCAGCCAGAGAGAACAGGCAGAAATGGGTGAAAAAGGACCCTGCTCTCGGAAACGCGAAGCGCGCCCATGTTGTGGCGGCGTTCCTCCTACCCGGGCTGCAACTCGTAGAGGGGTGACGTGTTTTGAGCACACTGATTTCACTGCTAACAGCTTTTGCAGAATACCCTATTCCAGTTCTCAATTTACTGAAAGAAGAATTTAGGTTCTAATAGTCTTTGCAGACTTTGTAATGGGTACTTTTTACTTAGTGTTGGTAAATTGTCAAAAAAAAAAGATAGCTGTAGTATTTTTTCAATGTTAATACTTAGAATTGGGGAATACCCCCCCCAATGGTGGTGGTGTTACTTTTTAGTGCACTTTTTGTTGCCAAACAAATGGTATCAACTAGTTTCCTTTTTTTCTTAAGAAAGGAAGTATTGTACTGTATGTAGTATTCTTAAGATCCTAAAAATTACAGAGACATTATAAAATAACTGTTCTGTATTTGTCTTAAGAGCTGAACAGACAAGAGAATGAATTTTTTTTCAGAAAATATAAAATTTACTTGTATTGTTAATTTAGATCATATCTAACTGTTCTACAGTAATACATCTATACTGTGAAGTTCATTTTCTTTTTTAAAAAAAGCATTTGTAATAGGTATTATAAAGATTATGAATTAGACGCCACTGTTTCTCTTAAGACAACTGCAATTGTGCTTTGAATGTGTTGTTTCCTCTGCCACACTTGGTTAAGTAAGTCTATTTACAGACAAACGTCAAATTGAATGAAAGTCCTTAAAATATATTCATTTGTTCAAGGAGTTATGCCCACTTCCCAGACTGCATTCACCAAGGCTGAAGCTGAAAATAAGATTTTATTCTGTGTAATGTTTGACACAGATGAGACTGTAGTTGTGCAAGTGAAATTATGCAAGAATAAATCCTGTTTTTTTTTTTTTAAAGCTTAACTGTGTATTCTTACATTCTTGAGAAGCATTGATCAAGAATGGTATCATGGTGTCAAAGACATATTGAATAAATCTTCAGATTAATATTTTTGACAAAAGGACTTACATAGTTATGACATAAGCAACGTGAGAGACCCAGCAATAGGGAAATAAATTACTAGCATTTAATGCCTGACACATGCCACTCTCTCTCTCTCCAACATATTGTTTGCATTTTTTCAGATATGAAAAATTTAGAGAAGTTGCCATAGTGAGGCAGAAAAAAAAAAAAAAGCTCAATAGGTGTCATTACTCTCCGTGTGTTACTAATTTACATGGTCCCTGATTTACAGATGCATACTTCCATCTGCAGTGTTCATTCAACTTAGCAGCAGAGCCGCAGGCAATCTCTGGCAGCTGCATGAGGGCAGACCCACTTTGGTCTCTCCCCCAGTGTTTGTTAATATTTAGTGAATTTGGCCAGTTCACCCCAGGTCGATATCCCTGGGCACACAAGAGCAACACTCAGCGCTTTAAGCAGCACATCTATTTGTCTAGCCCAAACCCAACTAACTTCTGTACCTTGGGGATGCGCTTTTTCCCCCTCAGCAGTTTTGGGCTGGGTTGACACAACAGAACAATGCTGCAGCCTAAGTTTTGTCCCATGGCAGCCTATGAATCTCAGCCAACATAACGTAGACATGATGGGATGTGTCAGGAAGCCCTGACCCGTTTAGAGCCAGTTTCTCCAGGCCTCACTAACCCAGCTGAGCACTGGCCAGTATCAGCTCTTGGAAAGATGCGCTTGCGTCTCCTTTACACAGCTCTGAGATTGCAGCAGCTGTACCACACAGAGCGGCACCACGAGACCCTTTGTGCCACCCCCAAGTACACTGAACCTGCCCCTCTCCTGGGGTGCAGGGCAGCTGCCAACACAAGCCTCAGCGCTCCTGTCCCCTACCTGAACACAAACCTTCTAGCTGCAGGGGTCCAGTTGCTCCCCCCACCTCAGGAAAAACCACTTCCTTTTTTCCTGCCACTTTTCTGCTCACCTAAATGCTGAGCAGACTTTATCCTACATCCCTCCCATACAGGATGCATGGCCAACGAGCATGGGATGCCTGCAGTATAAAATGTAGTTCCAGCACACAGACAACTGCAGCAGCCAGTCAGCACCAGAAAAATAGGAGGGCTCACCAGTCCAAGGCAGGGACTACGTATTAAAAAGTTAAAATACAGATGGTGGTTGCTTAACAGGTTTCAACAATAACATGGCTGAAATAAATTCAAGCTAGCACTACCAGTTCAATGTTCCCCCTCTCCTTCAGCAAGAATCATAGTGAAATAACACTGACTATCAGATAAGAACTGACAAGGAAAGAAAAGAGATTTAAAAAAAAAAAAGCAGCTCTTTACAATGCTTCTCAAACCTATCTGAGATTTTTTAAATGGAAAATAGAGGCATAGCACTTCAAGACTAAACTGAAAGACAACCTGAAGTTGGTGTCCAAGTGAAAACCCAAAAACACACACAACCTGCCATTGCAATGTGGCCTTAATGGTAGCTAAATGTAAACCAGTCTGATTCCAAACACTTTTGTAAATAGTTTTAAGTTACAAACATCTTAACCCCTTACTAGTAAGCTTTCAGAGGGTAATTTTAGTTTAAGGCATATGCAAACCTTCGTTAAACTACACAAACACGGAAGTGAATTTGGCTCTAAAACTTCAGTAACTCCGATTTAGCTTTTGCTGTTGAGAATGCACTGATGATAAGCCTGTTAAATAGTCACTGTCACAACTGTGAAGCAACTAGTGACAGTTTAAGTGCTAATTCCTGCTATACTTGGAAATAACATGTGTAACAACAAAGCTATTGAACTGTTGTCCTGACCATACCCTATGGTAAAGTCTTCTCTTGAGACTGACAACAACTCATTGGCAGGGTGACCACATTCAGCTTTTAGAGAAATATTCTCTATCTCCTTCAGAGCACCATTCACCTGCATTCATGGCGAGCTAGATTTTCAAGCTGTGTCGCAAAATGGTCAGTGAGGAATAACTGAAATTCACGACAGCTTCACAACCTTTCTTTCTCAATATTATGTTTTCGAGTCATCAAAATACTCTGAACGCTCTACTCAAGAAGTAGTAATTTTATTATATTCATCTGACAGGTTTCATTGTGAATGAATAGGATAACTTAAAATGCAGTCTCTCTCATGATTTTGGTGAGTTTCTGGATCTTTGTCTTTGTTGACATATCCACGTACTTCTCCCCAATATTGACAATCATTCCACCAAGGATTGACGGATCAGTCTAAGGAAAAAATATTGAACAGAAATTCTAAAAAATCTAAAGCAAAGATTTGTTAGCCTAATACTCCCATGTTTACACTAGCAAAGAAAAAGCTTTTAGAATACCCTCGTTTAATATAATTTTGCAGTCACCATATTCCAAAGTTAAGATTTTAGTAATTACAACATTATCCAGTATACAAGAAAGCACAGAAATTATTAGAGTATTCCACAAAGTCATTTTACTGAATCTAATCACTAAAGTCAAAAAAACCTTTCATATCACAATTAAAAAAAAAAAAAAAAAGAGAGAGAGACCAAAGCCTGGCTTAATATTACTTTGATGAAATCTATTTACAAGTCAAAAATCCATACCTTGGTCTCCAGCTTCAAGACTTCTCCTTTAGCCAAGAATCCATTCAAAGCACTTTTTAGCTCAGTAAGGCTGGCATCATCCAAGGGCTGAAAAAGTTTGAATAGAAGCCAAAGAAAATGAAGGACTTTCAGGAAAAAAAAACAACACGGTAACAAGAATCAGTATTTTCTATTTAAATTAATCTTCAAAGAAAAAGCAACTCTAAAGAAAGGTACTTCGAGGAAGGCAGAGTAAGCAGCCTTCTTGGACAGCAAGAACAAAGGGACAGTACAGAAACAGCAATCGCTTTGTGCTGCTTTCCTTTCATTAAACACTGTACCATTTCTATACATCTTCCCAGCAATGGTTTCATGTTAACATCTTAAGAAAGCATGCGACAAAAATCCATACTTTCACAAACGTGAGCAATGGACAGGGAACCTCGAGATTTACTTCCCAGCACTGTTTAGGCTATATGGGGAAAGACTAATTTTGCTGCTCCTTACAATGTGGATAATTAGCTTGAGAAGAAAAATGGTTTCCCGTAAAGCAATAGACTCAGGACACAGGCACACGGTTCCCAGCATGCTATCAGGTAAGTAACTCTCTTAGGCCTGGAGAATTCTACATCCCTGTGAGAAGGACACTGTGAATTAATCTTTGCCTTCCCTATGAGTCTCTCAGATCAGTTTGTAAACTCACAAACCTATGAAAACCTTTTCACATGTTCCTGAAGACCAGCAAATAGACTATGTTTGCAGGCTACAGAAAGCCATTCAACCTGAAATGTATGAAGCTTATTATTTAGTCCAGGTAGGCAGTTCACTATAGCCCTACCCAAAGGCTATATTGTTTTAGAGTTAGCCATTTGTCCTGACTGCAGCACTCAGCAATTAGGTAGTTATTCCCCACGAAGTACAGTATCAGGCACCACAGGCACTCTTAGTTTAATCAGGTAACTGCCTTGCTCTAGCTGACAGCTGATCTGTTAACTTTGACCTGCTCTTGATAACAGATCCGACCAATAACTGTTGGATACCAAAAAGCCAGTTGCAGAGAGGCTTTCATCTTGGTAGAGCTGAAATTTTTCCTCACTGTTCATAGAGCAAGCTGCTTACGCTACAGAGAGCGAAATTAAACTAAAGAAGTTTGCCTTTTATGCCACTACCCATTAAGCTCGACCTAGATTATTCCAGCTCACCTGGGCAGTGGTAACCGTGCACAGCACTTCTCCTCGATATGCGCTCATGATCTTCCCAAAGGCAGAAACAATGTCCGGAGTGTAACGCAAGCGACCGTTTTCAGCAAGCAAGTCTGGCAAAGGTGGATGTATTGAGAGGGTTTAAAATACCCAAAAGAAGTAGGTTTGGTTAGCTACTGATAATAACAATTAGCCTTACGTGTTTTTCAGCATTCAAAGGCTTACTTACTCATCAGGTTGACAGTAATAGGGGACATCTTCTCTTTTGCCAAAGCATCATTTACAGCTTTTTGTTTAACTGCACTCTTGGTATGAGGGTTCATAACAACACTGGATAATTTGGGATCCTTCATAAGGGTCTAAGAGGATATACAAACAACATGATCAGAGCCAGGAGTCTTCCAGGCATTACAAGGCCAAACTGGACTATTCGGGGTGGGCAACAAGGTCATTAATTGAGCAAGAATAAAGAAAGATCAGAAGTAAGCAGTTAGGAAATGAAATAACAGCTTCACATATTGCACATTTACAATATGCTCCTTTTACAGTTGCTGCAGTATCACTACTAAACAGCTTAACAGGCTGAGGAGCAGCACTGGGGCACCAGGACCTACAGCAAAACAGACTGCAGGTACAGACAGAAGACATGCCACGTTGGCTGAAGGGGAGAAGCTGAGAGCATTTAAGAGCTGAATCCATCCCCTAATAAGACACAGCAGCTTGAGCCCCGCGGCCCCCAAACCGCTGTAAGAACTTAGGCCTTACCCAGACTCGGGTCAGCTCCTTCTCTACCTGGTCCAGCTTCTTCTGCTTGGAGGCGGCGGAGTACAGCGCGGTGGCATAGCGGCCCTCCAGCCCGTACACCTGGATGGGGGGCTGGGGCAAGAGAGCAGGCGGGCGCTGAGAGCCGAATCCAGGCTCTGGCTTGTCTCACATGCAGCTGATTAAAATTTTGACTCTTAGCACTGAAGTCTTTGCTTGATTACATTACTCGCTAAGTGTTTCAGGCACGTCTCCTTGTCTGAAGGAGGCAATAGGCAGTTTCTTTGGACTCCTTGTTCCAATGTTTATCGTCATTTTGGTGGTTTCTATTGCCTCTGCTGCAGAATGGAGCCTTTTCTTTTTCCCTTCCGTGCAGCCAGAGGACTACTGCTAACTTCTGATTGCTGCTAACTGGAGGGAGTGAATTAGTACAAAGGATTTGCTGAAGTCAGTATGATCTTAACTGACATCAGAAATTGGCCAAAAGATAATGAGCTCAGATCCCCATTCAGATCTCTCTGAACACCCTCTCCATAAATGCGATGGAGTAATTCTGGTCACGTTTCTAGAGCAAACATTTCACATAGGGTGGGAGTTAGGCTAGGGAGAAAGCCAGATTTTTTTTTTTTTTTTCCCTTCCCAGAACAACTCAGCCATAGAATTGGAGCTAACTAGATATGTAAGGCATTTAGTTTCTTCTCTCGATGCACAGCAGTTCTGAAACGGAGAGAGTCTGATTAACTTCCTTTAGCAAAGGAGGAATTGGATCTGACCTGTTACAGCACATAAAACTTCCTGCCTTAAACGGCTAGTTCTCCTGGCTTTTATTTCTTCTTACTAGACTGTTTTAGGCAAAGGGATTTTAGGTGGTGTGCTGGGTGGTTGGTGGTGTGTGGTGCATTTTTTTTTGTTTGTTTTTGTTTTGTTTTGTTTTCAGCCGGGGTGGTTTGTGCTTGGGCCGCAGATGAAGGAGAAGAAAGCAGAGGCACCTCTTGACATCTTTGGCCTCCAGGTGCTGGAGCTGTAACTGGGACACCACCTATGGTGAAACTCAAGATGGAACGTCCCTGTCCTTGCCCCGCTTGCCACATCTTGTGTTGCTGAAAATTATTTTCCTCAGAAAGAGTCACAGGAACGTGGCTCTGGAGACAATTACGGTAACCACAGCGTTTGCTCTCCTTGCAGGCCCCAGCCCAGTATGTGACTGTCTTGCATGAACAGTTGGAGCATGTTCTCCAATTGGGTCACTGCAGTCTGATGATTTGTGCCTTTGCAGGACGAGGGGCTAAGTGAAGGGGAAAGTCATCTGTGCCACAGGGGATCACTTGGGGGGCTTGCAATTATTATAGTATGGTGAAGTGACATTTGACTTAGCATCCAGCGCCCTTTCCCGTGTTCCTGAGGTTCCTGTAGTTCATGCAAACAATCTTCCCTCCATTCAGAGGCACCAGGAAAGAAATCTCCACATACAAGTTCTTCAGTAGAGAAAATGTCAGCTGTGTTTTCCTTGTAGACATCTCTGCTGTCCTCTTCACAGAGTGAGACTGTCTCTGAAATACAATGAGCTATTTCCTCCCCTTGGATAAACTAGATCCACACATCTCCTGGGGCAAAGAGACAATCTTCCAGGTAAAGCACAGGGAAGGCAATCTGAATTTTAGCTCTGACTTTGTCACGATCTCCCTGTGTGACCTTGAACAACTCACTCAGGTCCTGCATACCACTGGACTACCTTGAATGATTAAACTCTCTCTCCCTAGTTTTTCCATCTTTTCTATGAGAAAAGGTAAAACGATTTGACTGCTTCACAGAGCAGTTACAAATTTGACTAATTATTTCTGTGGTGTGACTAGCTCAGAGTGGAGGTGCTGTTGAAATACAAAGCATTGCATTAATAAGGAGCATGCTACATCCGTATGCAAGGCAGGCTTTAAACACTAGATGTTGCTGTTGCTACAAATTGAAAGACTAATGCTCGCTTTTGTGATCACTCTGGCTCACCGGACTGCTCAAACCTAGAGAATTATAATTATGCTCTGCAGGAAACACAGCCTTAATAAGAGCTGTGCTACCATCCCACTAGAAATAAGAAAGATTACCAATATGCTTTATTCTAGATGTTGGAATTCAGTTCCTTCTTCTGTCCCTAGCTGTGCTTGCTCTGGTGACACTGAAAGATATACAAGCATAGTCCATGACAGATTTAAGCCTGACATAACGCCATTCTTCTCAATAATTTTAATGTCTATGGAACTAAAGAAATGCATGCCTAAAATGTAGAAAAGTCTTTGTTTTTCTTTAAAAAAAAGCATATTCTGTCCAATTTTTGTGATAATTTGCATGCATGGATGTTTTGAAATGGTGCTCATGGATTTGCACATGGATCCATGACACATGAATTTATTTGAACTAGGGCTACGTATCCAAAATTTTATTAGTGTCATTCTGAAACGCTCTATGATCTTCCATGATCTTGTTGCATTTTTATACATAAGAAAATCTGGCTTATTGAGGCCAGTGAAATCACTGAGAGCTGAGGATGCTTTAATGAACTTGAGTTTGGGTCAAATCCTGATAATGCTTTCCAGAATTAAAATCAGAGCACCTCCCTCAGATTAATTTTAGACATGCAAAATCCCACAGGTGATAAACAGTGTGTGCCTTTAAACCTTATACTGGAAGGAAAATTTAAATCCTGATGAAGCTTATTCTTGTAGTGGGATACCTGTAATAATTCCTCCACCAATATAATTGTATGTGAATTTTAATGATTTTTTTCCTTTTTTGTTCTCCTAAAAATAATTAAACTCTCCAAACTGCTAGTCTCTCATCATTTGACCTTTAACTGGGTCCCTCGTTTCAGTTTAGTCACTTAGGTCCATACCTGTAAGCATTCAAACACATACTCCATTTACAAGCTCTTCCATGAGAAATACCTGGATGAACATCCACTTACGGGTCTGCCTATTTATGTGGAGGTCAGTGCTTTCAGGACTGCAACCTTTAAAGTACTCATTCCT